CTTCATATCCTACCCTGGGACACATAGCTTACTTCCTGCCTGCCTGACCCACGTCCTGCTAGTGCTTCAAGACTCTACCCGCCTCTCTTTATCTCTGTCTCTTTGATCCCTAACTATTCCCACCCTTAACCTTCAGCTGGGTTTGTGGCGGATAAAGAAAGATTTAATTTCTTCTACTGTTTTTCTGCTTTGCCTTGGTTTTTTTGTTTGTTTGTTTTGTTTGGTTGGTTCTTTTTACCACTACATCTAACCTGTGAATATTATTATTAATCATCCATCCATGGCACTCTGCTGCTTCAAACATTTCAATATTTATTTGATCTCTGGATGAGAGAGGATTTTCTAAGCATAAAAGCAATGGAAGAAATCACTAAGGGAAAGAAAATCAATCCATTTGACTACACCAAATTTAAAGCTCCTGGACGTCAGAAGCCATTCTAAACAAAACTAAAAGGCAAATGACAAGGCTGAGGAAAATATATGCAATAAATATGACAAAGGGTTGTTATCCTTCACATATAAGGAGCTCATATAAGTCGATAAAAAATATTAAAATCCCAGGAGAAAAGTGGGCAAAAGACATGAATAAGTAAATAGCTAATAAACACATGAAAAATGTTTAACTTCCCCAGTAGTCAGGGAAATGCAAATTAACACAACCTAAGCCATTGTTCGACTATCAGATTAGGAGAACATTAAAGGCTGGCGAGGGTGCAGAGATCACTTGGTAGTTTTCCAAGAAAAACCAAGAGCTTGTTCAACTTTCAATAAACCCCTATCACCCAGAGGAAAAAAATCCAGGGTCTAGTCCTCACCCTACTCTCCTGGCTCCTCTCCCAACACCCCTCCTCCCATCTGACACGTGCAGTGGTAATTTCCTGAGCATAGGACAGAAGTCCTCCTGCACAACTGCCCTTCCTGGGTCCTCTCCCCCTCTCCCCCTCCACCTTCTCCCAACCACCCAATCTCCTCCCCGCTAACACTTCTTGAAAATTCTGAGGCATCACCACCTTTGGGAAACTCTCAGGAGCAGGATTAGGCACCCCTGCACTGTGCTCTCATTACACGTGTTCCCTTACTTAGCATTTACTGCATTACATTGAAAATGACCCTTTATGGGTTTCTTTCCACCTTAGATCATATGCGCCTCAAGAGAGGCATTATATACTTATTCATTGCTAGATCGTGTAGATGCTCAACAGATGACTCTTGAACTGATCAATCATGTAATAAATTAATTATTCCATTTTGCCCCATAAATTTTTGCCACTAATCTGGTACATGCACGCTTTACTTAAAACGGATCAAATTAAGTCATGTTGGATGGGAAGAATACCTCACCCATGCCCTGGCCCTCATTTTAGTATCCATGTACTATCATCTTGTGGGTTGTAACCGATTAGTGAGCCATGAAATTAATTTATGGGTCACAACCATCACTTTTTAAGTGAAAAATATTAAAACAAGAAGAAAATGGGACGACACTGGTATCTGTTATTTCCTTTCCATTATGGATTTCCCCACTCACCACCCCCAGGCAGGCAGGAATGGTTGGTTGAGAACACAAAGCGGAGAGTTGAAGTTCCTGCTTGGATTTTTTAAAAAATTTAATGTTTGTTTATTTACTTTGAAAGAAAGAGAGAGGGAGTAGGGGAGGGGCAGAGAGAGAAGGAGAGAATCCCAAGCAGGCTCTGTCAGCACAGAGCCCAATGTGGGGCTCAAAGTCATGGAACTGTGAGATCATGACCTGAGCTGAAATCAAGAGTCAGATACTCAACCAACTGAGCCACCCAGGTGTCCTTTCTGCTCTGATTCTTATTAGCTCAAGGAGAGTTACCAATCTCTCTAGGCTGTGGTTTCCTTATCTGTAAAGTAGGAATGATAAAAATACAGATGGGAAGAACCAGCAAGGACTCAGTTATGCCACAAATTCTTTTTTTTTTTTTAATTTTTTAAATGTTTTATTTATTTCTAGGAGAGAGAGAGACAGCGTGAGCAGGGGAGGGTCAGAGAGAGAGAGGGAGTCACAGACTGAAACAGGCTCCAGGCTCCGAGCTGGCAGTCAGCACAGAGCCCGACGGGGGGCTCGAACCCACAAACCGCGAGATCATGACCCAAGCGAAAGTCGGACGCTTAACCGACTAAGCCACCCAGGCGCCCCTCAGTTATGCCACAAATTCTTAAAACCCTGCTCATCAGCATTTCTGACAGAGACAGCTTCCGTATCAGCCAGAAGCAGACCTGGGCACGACTGCAGTGTTTCCCTCTGGCACTTTCTGCTCTGATGTCTATTCCCTCTTTCTCCTTCGCAGCCAGTTGCCCACCCTGCTTTATATCGCGATTGACTCGTGAGCCTCTCAGATTCAGGGGGGAAATGTGTACTCAGAGGGATCAGGTAAATTTATGGGCCTAAGACTACTGTCATAGGGTATGAAGTAAAGGACTCTTTCTAAATTGCTAATCTGATGTTGTCACTCCCCTGCCTTTCTATGGTCCCTATCTTGTTCAGATAAATAAAGCTCTGGTTCCTCAGTAGGATCTATACGGTTCTCCATGATCTGACATCCTGTCCATCCCACACTCCAGCCCCCTCAACCACCTGTACTTCTCAAATCAGCCAGGCTCTCCTGGTCCTTTTCTGTGTTGTCTAATTTGCCCAGAACACCTCTCTGTCCCTTGACAGTTTCAACGAGGGCATCTGCTCTTCCCAGATTTCTTCACGCACTTCCCTCTTCCTGCTGTACCCCCCCCAGTCCCCAGCTTTGCACCCCTCCATCACCACACTGCCACAGCTGTGGTTCAGTCGGCTGCTCATTTGTCCCTCTTGCTTCCTAAGGACAGGGAGGGCATCTTTTGCTCATAGCCCCAGCATCTAGCACCCTTCTCTCCCAGAGTGAGCAAACTGGACAAGTCTGGTGGGGCAGGAGGGTTTAGAAGTGAGGTAGAGGAGGGTAGAGGAAGGAAAGGAAGAAATGGATGGAAAGCTTTCCTTTGTCACCTTTCCAGGATGTCCCAGGTCGTAAAGCAACTCAGGAACTTTGAACAGTAAGCTGTTTTCTCATTTTCTATAGATCAGGTGCACACACTTTCTACAGATCGGGCACAGAGTCGAGTCTCTGGAGAGAAGGAACTTCTGGAATGAGGCAGGTCAGGGTAAGTACCAAGGTGGACGGGGTGCCAGGAACACGTGATCCATCTGGAAGATGTCACAGGCTGGAGGAGGCTCCCTGGGCTTTGCTCTGGAGGAATGCGGGCTTGAGCAATCAACCTTGGGAACACTGATAAGAGGCAAGAGGCAGAGAGATCCGTCTTCAAGTTGCAAAGGTACTTGGGGTGGGGCTGGGACAAGGCTGGCCACTCCCGTACTGCAGTGATTCCAGCACTTCCGGCTGCTCAGTTCCAGAGCTTATGAACTGAGACCCCTGCACGGACAGAGCCATGGTAACTGATGTGCTGCCATCTGGGTCACCTGCCTCAGGGCATGGGCGGCTTTGGGGAGAGAACGATCAATAACAGCTAAAACCCCATTTTGTTTGACTGACACGCCAATCCCATGAGGTAGTAAAGAGGCTTGATTCTATAGATGAGAAAACAAAGGACCAGAGACGTTAAGTAACTTGTCCAAGCTTACACAGTAAATGACAGAGCCCAGATTTTTTTTTTTAATGTTTTATTTATTTCTGAGAGAGAGAGACAGTGTGAGCAGGGGAGGGTCAGAGAGAGAGGGAGACAGAGAATCTGAAGCAGGCTCCAGGCTCTGAGTTGGCTGTCAGCACAGAGCCCGACACGGGGCTCAAATCCACGAACCATGAGATCATGACCTGAGCCGAAGTCGGAAACTTAACCAACTGAGCCACCCAGGCGCCCCGAGAGACCAAATTTGAATCTAATTGTTTGATTTTAAAGATCTGACTCGTCTCACACTCCATGTCTATCCCTGAGTCATTCCCTCTTCATTCAGTTTGAGTGTGATGCTCCTACTCCAGGGCAGGGATGGGGTGGTGCAGGTCATGGAAGATCTACCACCATACAAGGACACTAGTGAACTGGGGACCTGGGATGCATCCATCTCCTAGGAAACCACATCAGGCTGAACCCCTGTGCTCACCAACCAGGTCCTCTTGAGGGAGAAGGTAACTTTAGCCAACTTTCACCTTCTCCAGAGACTTGTTTGCCCTGCACCAGACACAAAGGATTTGCAGCCAGCTCAGAGACCCTGCAGCCTAGCAGGCACTTCCCAGGTGTGCAGAAACCTCTCCTTGCAGCAACCCAGGGATTCAGGAAGGGGCCAGGACTTGCAAGGGCTCACAGAAGGTAGGCGATGACAGGTGTTGCTTCAGGGATGCTGGGAAACTTCACCTCCACCTCTCCCCGCTGCCCACACCTGCTGGATGGTATTTGAGATGCCAGTTTGGGGCTACCTCTCTTTGGCTTAGGGCTCTGACCTGGGTTAAAATGCAGGGACATTTACAACTATGGTGGTCATTGCAACCCCTTAGTAGAAAGTGGTTTCCAATCTCATGAGTGCAGGTTTTTGAAAGGAAGGGAAAATGAAAAACAGGACTGTGGATGTCTGTTTGTGGAGGCCACAACATGGCAAATTCAAAGTGGCTTTCAGGAAGTTTCCCATTCACAGCCTACCAGCAGGACAAGAAAGTTAGCTACTTAGCATGTGTTCAGAGCTGATGGGAATGGACAATCAGTAAGGTGTCCCTGCAATCAGGAATCCACTCATCAGTCCACAGCGAGCTGATCTGAGCTTTCCTCTCCTGACTCCATGTCCCAGGTGGGAACTGGTACACAGTACACTGGTCAGAAGCACCCTGCTTTCCAGGAGAGAATGGACTGTGCCCAGTGGGACACTCGAATGACAAACAAGACTCCAATCTTGGACTTGGGAATATGGGGTCCTGGTTCTCTAGAACCAGACTGAGGCATCTGCTGACGAGTTAGGGCACAGAAAATGAAGTGGGACCGGACTCGGAGATCCAAACACAAGTTAGGGCACAGAAAATGAAGTGGGACCAGACTCGGAGATCCAAACATGCCAAACAGCACAGCATGTGAACCAAGGCAGCTCCTGAGCCAGAGCCCTTTCTCCCAAGAGCAATGTTGACTCAGATCCTGAGAGGAACCAAAGTACTTCAGCCTTTCCTTCCTATATGTTTATGATGGCAATTATGCAATTCGGATGTATGTCTGGACTATGCGATTGGGATTCTGGATCCCACAAAGGTCCCGAGCCATAAAAATGCCCCTCATCTTTCAATATTTGCAAAACAGATAGAAACCAAAAGAAAGGGGGACCACATCCTTCATGAAGGTCACTGCTCATGTGGAAACTAGTTTATGGTAGGATCTTAACTTCCGCCTAAACTCTGAAGGGTCTTGACATGCCTCTTTCTGGGTCGTACACACAAGGTGTCCTCAGGACTCTTAGGCTCCCTTCTCCCACCCTCATTTCTCAAATACGTCAGGCCACACCCAATACGTTTGAATGACTCAATAACCACTTGCTTGACAGAAGTCCAAGTGTACTGTCTTCCTAGTGGCAGGTAGGGAAAATTGCAGGCCCAACGAAAAGGAAAAATGAACTCTGTGTTCACTTTCAAAGGCAAACCTGGGAAGGGGAGGAGGGACTCAGATGCCCCAGGGACTAGACAGATAATACAAACAAATGAAACAGACCAGGTGAGAGACAGAGAGACAGAGAGAGACAGAGAGACAGAGAGGGAGAGAGAACAAGCCCTGTCAAAAGACACAACTCCCACTGAGTTCAAGTTGATTGTCTTGTGCAGATGCATTTCAGAGGCGCCTTATCTTCAGATTGTTTAAGAGAAGCCAGAAACTCTGATTTCAATGCAAAACCCTGTGATTTTTTAGACGGTGGCTCAATTTTCTTAAAAACACTAGGTGGGCTAAATAAAGCTGCTGGTCTACCAGTTTCCAAAGCTCTGCTGTACAGATGGGCATGTGGTCACCAGGAACCGTGGTGTTAGACTGCCACTCAACAGCCACCATTTGCAACTGCAACAGAGGCATCGGCCTCTCACGCACAGCTGAAGTCCTGAGCTGTGGAGAACTGACACTACGGGGAAAAGCGGAAGGTTCCGCTGAGCCACCAGGGACGGCGGCTTTAAATGGCCGACTGCTCCTGCAGGAGCCCTTCAGGGCCCGGGAGGCCTTTATCTGTCTCCGAAGCCACGGCTGCTTCTCGAAGGACTTCCAGGTGTTCCTCAGCAGCCGACAGTGACTGGTCGACCCAGTCCAGGCCCCCGGTCAGGTGGCAGGCGTTCCTGGTCACCAGCACCAGGTGACTGACAGACAGGAGCAGGGCAGTTGTCCTAGAAGAAGCAGCAGGATCAGTCAGCCTCTCTGGGAAACGGACCGTGCTCCACAGCCTGCATGGACAAACTCTGGTCTGCCATTCTTCAACCCTGGAGCCCCTTCCCTGAGAGGCTGGTGAGTGATTTAAAGATGGATCCACACTCAAATACATTTGGGAATGGCTGGGTTGAACAACATTACCCAAAGCCTTCTCTGAGCCGGTAACAGCTTTATCATATAGAGCTGTAAGGAAAGAATACAGTGTGCTGTGGCTCACTCACTCATTTAATTAAGACTGTGGAGCCCAGTTTGTGCAGCGTGCCTAGTGACATCTCAAAAGAGTGTTCTGTAGGACAGTTCAGACCTAGTCGATTGGATGAGCGCATCCCCAACTGTTGCCCAGTTAAAGACAGGACATACGTACCCCTGTCTGGGGCATCCCTTATTGATTCTGAATCAATAAGGCCCTGAGATGGTTTAGACCACTCTAAAAACAAAATTTAATCAAAAACCAAATTGAGGAGGAGGGTTTTATTTCCCAGTATTGAAAGATTCACTGTAGAATATCTTTTATACAGTGAGTGTGTATGATGCACGTAGGGCTGTACTACAGATTCCTAGCCCGTAGGCACAGCTGGGCAGCAATGGGAGCGGAGCAGAAAAACCAACTGAAGCACCGGGAGCCACTGTAATCACTGCAATCTGGCAATCATCACACAGCAGATCTATGAAATGCTCATATAAATCCAAGAGACAAAAGATTCTGCTTGTTTTAATGAGTTTGCATCTGGTAGAGGAACAGAATTTCAAAAGCCTAAGTACGCTCAGTGTACTACGGGAGGGTCAGGAGAGGGGGTCCCGGGTATGACCTGTACAGGTGAGCACAGCCTGAGCTGACCTGTCCCTTCCGTTCTCTTCACTCTGCTCACCACCTGCCCGGCCCACTGGGCGGCACTCACAGCCATGGCGTGTCTGCTTCCGGGGCCCAAGAAGAGAGGCAGCCCATGGGAGAAACGGGACACAGGGAAGGTGCAGATAGGACTTTGCGTGGCCAGATACTTAATCATAAAAATTCAAAATCTAAGACCGGCTCTTCCTAATCCCAGGTTTCAGGAAGAGCCGGACCTCTATCACCATTCACACTCAATGGCGCTCAAAGCCCTGGGAGCCCAGCACCACAGCCTTCTCCACAACCCACACAGTGGGCCTCCGGGATGTGATACAACAGTGAGCTTCCAGGGTGAGAAACCGAACAGCCCCTCCCCCACTCCTCACCGTGCATCCAGGAGTTTGGGGTCCAACGGAGGGTACATTGATTTCACCACATCGTCCACTCTGTGGGGAGGCAAAAAGGATGTCAGTATTTCACCTTCCTTGGGTCCTTTTCTGTTCTTCCTTCATTTCTACCTCTCTTTGTCTCCTGATACTGAAGAGCCCCAATTTTATTGAGTCTTTCTCTAATTGCTTTTGCATTCTCAGACAGCCTTAAACAGAAAGACTTTCGGTTCAGTTTGGAGAATATTTTGTTTTCTGGTTTTGTTTCAGTCCCTGTAGTTTTTAAAAAGTGTTACGTTCACCCTTCTGGAATGATGTTCAAGATACACTACTAAATTAAAAGGGCAAACTGCCAAAAATATATAAAGTTTGATCAATCCATGGCGTGAAAATAAACAAAAGCTGTGACGTGCAGCAGGCGAACGAACACTCACCATTCAGTCGTGTTGCCACCAGGGATTGGAATGGGGTGGAAGCTGGGGCTCCTTCACTTTCCAGATCTCCTATTTCTGCATTTTGACTTTGGTTAAGTATTTGCTACTACTGTGTTTTAAAAAAAAAAAAAATGGCTAACTATAGAGAACACTAAAAAAAAAAAAAAAAGCCTACAAGTTTAATTTGGGTCCAAACTACTCCACTGGATTTCCTTTACATACGGTACAATTCATGGTTAATTTTTTTTTTAAGTCAAGTTCAGAAAGGAGCTGCTATTCATTCTGATTTGCATGGTTCAAGATTTTCAGCCAAATCCTTGCTCCTGGACCCCTCGGTAGTCAGGAAGAAAAAATAATGATGTATTGTTTGATTTTGAAAAGCACCTGAAAACAGATAGATGCCCTCTGATGTTTCTGTCTCAAGGCTAAGGGGCTGGTGAGGAAACACAAAGATCATCAGCAGCTGTCTTCACCGGCCCCTTTCCCTGTAGTGCCCTGGAGCTGAAGCCACTCGCCTGGAAACTAATATGTATCCACACACTATGTAGAATAAATGGAGCAAAAAAAACCAATGGGGGCAAAAACAGTCCGGATGAAGAAAGAAGCATGAAGGCAAAAAGATGAAGCAAGGGCACTGACTGAATTATGGCGGGGAACATTCGGGAAGCAGTCCAAGGGGCTCAAAAGGAAGGGCCAGTGTGTACCAGGTCAGGTCCACTCTGAGCAATGCCACACCCTCCCTCTAGAAACAGGGCTAATCCCCATCGCCAAGGACTTCCTTCCTCCCAGGAAATCCCAATCTCTGTCCTCCTCCCACCCCTCCCGGCAATGCCTCCTGGTTTACAAGTAGACATCACAGGAGCTGCACCAGCCCCAGGGGTGGCTCTTAGCAGGGACTGGAAGCATGACGCAGGTCTAGCAGATAGGAGCAGTCTCTACCAACAATGGGTGGCCAGAGGAACGCCTCCTGCTTGCCCAGAGCCTCGGCTGGAGGGCCTCCTGGCCAGGCTGGTACAAGTCCTGTGGCTACGCCCATGCGGGGCAGCTCCAGTTCAGAAAGCCAAGAACTGTTCTGGGCTGAGTCTCTCCCTGGGATTATCTCCCTCCTACTTTCTCAACTCACTCAACTCCCTGGACAGAGTTCAAGTGCTCCAGCTCTCATATTCCTTCAGAGGGCTGGTTCCTCGGCATCTAGCAGAGGCCATGGCAACTAGGAAACCGAGAGCCCCTGGAACTCACTGGGAGTGCCACCATTCCAACCAGGGACAGGAGGCACTGTCTCCACGGTAAGGCTGCCTGGATGACTGAGAAAACATCCTGGACGAGGCCAACTCCCAACTCAGGCACATCCACATACCAGCCACCAGATGGCAGCACAAACTCAGTACCACCCTCCTTCCTAAGAAAAGGGCTTTATGTTTCTCCACAAAGTCAAGCCCAAATGAGGGGGTGTAGTTGTTGACTACAGTCCTGCTGGTTGCCTCCCACATGGGGTTTTGTAGACAGCCTGGAATTTGGGAGATCTGAATGAGGTATGGCTTCTCTCCCACCCCCCCAACCCCCAAACCCAGTCCTGGAGGCTGCTGGCTGGGCCATGGCTGGGGCACTGGTTGACAGGGAAGTGGCAAGGAGCAGGTCCCTGAAACTGGTCTCCCGTACAGATAGGGCAGGGTGGGGCGTGGCCAGCGGGTCACTGCATGAGGGTGTGGACACCGTCGGAAAATGTGCTTCCCGCCCAGAGCCTGGGAAGAAGGGAAGGCAGGCAGCCCCAGCTGGAATGGGGCTGAGGGAGAGGCTGAGGCATCTGCAGAATGGACTGGAAGAGTCAGCACTAGTCATATGCTAGGATTCCCCAAAAAGCCGCCAGAGGAGGCCTGTTGGAGGCGGGGGCCACTGTGTGAGACCAGTATCTAAACCCTGGCTCGGTCTCTGAGAATCTAAACCTTCCTGGGTGCTCTGTAAATGTCAAGGACACCAATAACTGAAGTTGCCTCTTCGAGGAGCCTGGCCTGCCTGCCACCTGAGCTTCCGGTCCCTCCCTCCACCCTGCCCCTCCCCCCCAGAGGGTGGGGCCCTCAAGGCCCACCAGCTCACCTGGGGCTGATCCGCTTGGCCACCACAATGATGTCGCTGACACTGGCTGAGTTCTTCATCTTGGCCCCGGAGCCCATTGTCATGGCAACAAGTTTTTCTGTCAGAGTGTGACAAATCTAACACAGCAGGGAGGGGAGAGGTGATGAGGGAGGGGACGCCCCAGCTCCCCCAAGAGCTTTTGCTGCCCCCACAAATACGGCACCTGCCTTGGGTTCCATCCCACACCGGGGCCCCTAACCTAGCAGGCAAATTAAAGTGAAAAGCACGCAAGACTAATGGGGTGGGAGAGGCAAAAGCCAAGGACGCGGTCCAGTGAGGAGAGAGAGGTGGGGAGCTCAGATCAGGGTCACGGTTTCGGCTTAGAGAAGTCCAAGCTGAAATAATCCGTCTAAGAAAAATCATGTGCTCTAATTTTGCCTTCTTGTCTGGGGGGAAAAACCTACTTTCTCCTTCTATTCTTTCACCTCATGGTTTAGCCTTCCAGATGGCTAGATCTCCCCAGTGGGGCACCCTCAGGAACACAGCTGGACAGAGGACACTGTCCCCTTGAAGCACTTCCTCCAAAAGCAGCCCTTAGTTCAACAATTATCTGGGGTTGGCCATGTTTGTCACGGGGTTTGTCAACATAGCCATGGCAAACGAGTCTTCAAAAAAGGCATGACTATGACCTGAGGCCTATCTCGTCATCCATCAACAATGCCACCACTTCCAAAAGCTTGGTTCCCCCCTTCCACACCTACCTGATGTTAGAACCTGGATGTGCTCCTGTCCCTGGTAAATAAGTTCCGTTACCTGCCTCCTACTTGGGGCTGGAAAAGAGGGCGGGAAGAAGGCCAAGAGCTCACCCAGGAGAGAGCCTGGGGACTCAAGGGCAGGTGGCCAAGCCAAAGAGCCTCCAGACCCTAGGGCCTCTCCCCTCTCCTTTGATCTGAGGACCTCAGCTGGACCACTGATTCCAATCCAATAAGACTCCTTCCTGCTGCTGACTTATCCCCCAGCTCAGGTGTCACAGGTGGGGACAGGGACAAAACAGTGCCAGGACACATGCTAGCTGGGAGATGGCAGATGAATACGGCATGATTGCTCTAGTCATTAGACCTGTCTGAAACCATATCCACACCCAAATGCTTCTTGGAATTAAATAATCCTGGACTGTGTGACAATTTCCTACTAGACGCTCCTTTGTCCCTCAAGAGGGACAGCTACAGGAGAGGTGGGATGAAAGACTTCATACTATCTTGTACTGAATGAAACCAGAGAAAACACAAGGCCGTCTATCTTTGAAATCTTGAATAATTACTGGACAAAAAGATAAATATGTAGTTTCCCAGGTTACCGAGATGAAGAAACTGTCAATATCTGCAATTGGCCAAATATTTCAATATTATTCTATCAGGCAAGGATTAAAAGACCAAATACTGAGGTGCCTGGGTGGCTCAGTCGGTTAAGCACCTGACTCTTGGTCTTGGCTCAGGTCATGATCTCACAGTTTGTGAGTTCAAGCCCCACATCAGACTCCATGCTGTCAGTGCAGAGCCTGTTTGAGATTTCTCCCTCTCCCTCTTTCTCTGGCCTTCCCTGCTTATACTTTCTCTCTCTCTCTCTTTTTCTCTTTCTCTCTCAAAATAAATAAATAAACTTCAAAAAAATTTTTTTTATAAATTTTTTTATTTTTTTAAGGTTTTTTTTTTTTATTCATTTCTAGGAGAGAGAGAGAGACAGCGTGAGCAGGGGAAGGTCAAAGAGAGAGGGATTCACAGACTGAAACAGGCTCCAGGCTCTGAGCTGGCAGTCAGCACAGAGCCCGACGCGGGGCCCGAACCCACAAACTGCGAGATCATGACCTAAGCGAAAGTTGGACGCTTAACCGACTAAGCCACCCAGGAGCCCCCCCGAAAAATTTTTTAAGTGCTAAAACTATAAAAATTACCCAAAGCTATAAAAACTAGTCAAAACGCAAATTGGATGCAATTGTCCACCCAATTGTGGAGACTGCAGGAATTAGAAGGAAAAAAATCTGCCTTCAAGTACGATACTCATGGTTTGGATTTTTCAACACACTGACTGTCCCAGGTGGCTGACCACCGTCCCAGCCAGAGAGGGCCAGTGAAGGACCTTCTACTAACTGGAGAAGTCCAGACACAGAACTCAACTCGTGGAGCAAAGGGCTGAGCTCTCCGTTAATGAAGGAAAGTGCCCAGAGAGAAGCTGGGGAACCCTCTCCCCCCGGGCACACCACCTTCCCCAGCTGGTGGAGATGCAGCTAGTGACCACCTACACGGCCTTTCTCACAGGTCACTATATTAGCAGGACCGGGTCCTTGAGGTGTAACAGGCTGCCCAGGAGGGAGTGCCAACAGCAGAACTCCCAAGCGTCAGGCATGTTTAAAAAACCTCTTGCATGGGTTCAGTGCCCTTCCTAAGATGCCCTTCCAGAGTGTGGGCATAGGGATGATTTGGGGAGTCCCCTCCCCCACCCCCTTATCTCATGAGAAATCCAAAAGTATTACCTTCAAGATGGCAATGCAGTGGGACATGAGACCCCTGGGGAGACAAGAAGAATCTGTCAGTGCTTCTCCACGCAGGCCACCTGGCTCCAGGCACCAGCCCTGCTCCTCACATAGCTCTGACCGGTGGGATGCCACCGAGGGCAGGAATGCCTCTGGGTCAAATGGAACAGGTCCACGAGCTGAATGAGGAGGCATCTTCTTTCTTTCCTTTCCCTTCCCCTCCCGGATCCGGCCGGCTGGCTCTTCCAGGTAGCACTCACCTCTCAAGGCATGCTTTCTTAGAACTCTGAGCTCCTGACACTGTCCCCTCCACCCCGTGTGACTTTCCCCTTATTCTGCGCTGGGTGAGCACCTCATCCTGCAAGGCCCAGGTCAAAAGGCCCTCACTCTGTGACAGCCTTCATGAAAGCCACCTCCTGCTCCCCATCCCAGGCAGCTCTACACGTGGCCTCCTCTGTGTGCCCGCGGCACTGTGCACAGACCCGCTAACGTTTCAGAGATACTGCATTTCGTAGAAGTCTGTCTCCCCCAGCGGTTTAATATCTGTGGTAACTGGCCCAGTGTCCTACACATAATGGCCCCCCACATGTCTTGAATGATAATGGCACACACTTCTCCACATGTAGAGGCTCCTGCCGGACGGAGAGACCCCTGAGGGATCCTGGGGACAAAGGCTTCATCCCTGGAGCCCGAGTGTCAAATTCACGGGCACCCTAAGGATAGCCCAAGCACATCGAGGTGACTTTGTAAGAACCTCTGCCACACATGTACGGGCCTCAGTGTTTAAATCTACAGAATGGGGGGAGAAGGGACAAACATGGTCATATTATAATCTGATCCTCCATCCCCATGCCGAGGGCCGGGGAAAGAGCCGTAAGTGACCCAGTGCCCCTGGACACCCGGTCAAGTGTTGTGGCAAAGAAAGCCAGAAAAGGGCACCCAGAAGACCGTGTGCCATCCCCAGGGGACTGAAGGAAGCACGCGGTCCCCAGGGCTTACGAGGCATCTTCGATCCAGTCTTCGTTCTCCAAAATGGCCTCAATGTGAGGGTTGGTGATGACCACGTCGTCCAGTTCTAACTCAGACGGCTCCGACTGGGTCTCCATGGCGCCAATGAGGTCCACAATGGGCCTGGAAGGAAGTGCCCATGTGAGTGGTTTCATGATGGCTGACTGTCGCTGACCCACTCCTCACAGAGGCCCCCGTATCCCCCAGCAGGATGCAGAAAGTTAGCAAGTTAAGGCAGGGACCCGTTGGCCTGGAGCCACACCTGACCCTCTGGGACCGCAGATGCAGGCAGGGCACGCGGTCAGACGTGGGTCACGGAGGCAGGCGGCGCCTAAGGAAAGGTGAAGCAGAGTGAGGTGAGCCGCTAAGAGAAAGAGGCACAGATGTATCAGACCGGGCTGCTCCTTCAGCACAAAACAGCATCCTTCTTAAACTGATTTTCCCTTCAAGCCTACCTTTTCCAGAGAAGCTGAAGTTCCTATCAGCCAATCCTCCCTGGTCTGCAGAATCACTGTCGGGAAGGACTTTGGTCCGCCCGCATAACCCTACCCCCTTCCTTGTTCTACCGGAGAAGTGGGAGGGATCATAAGCCCGACTTTGCAGCAGGGGACGCCGGAGCATTCGTTCCATAGCAGAGCTTTCATGGGTCATATAAACGGGCATTTACAAATTATCCACCTCTCAACAGAGATGCTGATAGGATTCAGACAGAGGGGTAAGAGAAACTAAGGGTCAGCTGCCATGGTCCCTCAAGGGTCTATCCATTAAAACACCCCTAATCGGAAAACTGGAACATGCTTATAAAATATATCGCGCACACAATGCATCACAAAGAAATCAGTGCAAAGAGGGAGACTGTCCTCTGCTCGGATTCACAAAACGGAGTATCTGCTACTTCCATGTGTGGCTGGAATGCAGGCCCGGGAGTTCTGTTGCTAAAGTCTGGCTGGAAAGAGGTTGAGCGTATTCAAATGCTAAGGGAAGTGGTCAGTTCTGGATAGATGGCCACACCGTTGTGCTAGGTGAGCCCATTTGGTCGCTTTCTCCTGAGCTCAGTGACAGAGTCAGAGAAGGCTCAGGACATTGCTAAGCTCCAAGGTCTTTCCTGGAAAGAGAGACTTCGGGTACCATTTTGGAGACACAAAGCTGAGCTACAGTTGCCCAGTACCAAACTTCATGGGCTCCTCTCTTTTATTTTCTGCTGTCGGAGCCCCTGGGAGGACCCGCCCCTGCCCCTGTCCCCTCCCTGGGCCCACTCACTTGGAATCATAGCGCTGCAAGAGGTCTCGAGGCCGGCAGTAGCGCTGCCTGCAAACCACCACCAAGGCTGCGAACGAGGCCAGGAAGATGGTGGCCAGCACACCTATGGCGACAATCACCACAGTCTCCATGCTTCTGGGTGGCTCCCTCGGTCCCAGTCACGTCCCCAGAGTGAGCTAAATCTTGAAAGACACAAGGGCAGAGCAGGCCTTGGTAAAGAAGCAGCAAAAGAGAGTGGGGCAGCGGGGTCCTACCTGTTGGGGGCGGGGGATGTGGAGAGCCAGGTTCCCCCCAAGTCACCTGCAGACACCTGAGGGCCTGCACAGAATCGAGATGCATTTTATGTCATGTCCCAAATTTGCCTTTTGTCTAATTAAAAGTTTGCCACCTGCTGGACCAGGTTGGCTTTTAAAATCTGGACAAAAGGGAGCAGTTGGGTGGCTCAGTCGGTTAAGCGTTCAACTTCAGCTCAGGTCATGATCTCACCGTTCATGGGTTCCAGCCCCATGTCAGGCTCTGTGCTGACAGCTTGGAGCCTGGAACCTGCTTCAGATCCTGTGTCTCCCTCTCTCTCTGACCCTCCCCCACTCCTACTCTCTCTCTCTCTCAAAAATAAAAATAAATAAACATTAAAAAAAAGAATTTAAAATCTGGATAAAAGGAAACAACTAGCACTGCTGTTTTCACTTCTACACCAACTGCAGGAAAGAATACCCTCCTAAGAAGGGAAGGATTGCATTTACTGAAAATCTACTCTGTGCCTGGCACTTTGTGTGTTAACTCTTCTAACAATCCTGAGGTAGGTATTAGTATTCCCATTTTACAGTTAAGAAAACAGGCTCAGGAAGGTTAAGTGATTTGTCCAAGGTTCTGTAGTCCAAAAGCAGAAACCCATCCACTCAAACTGATAGGGGCATCCACTGCCCTTCACCTTTCTTAGAAGGGAAGAAGATTCTAAACACCGTGGAAAAGAATTAGATTGTCAGTTTGCGTGTTAGAAACTTACAACTGGTGTTAACATGTTCATTGCCTATTGCCTGTTTTCATTCAGGGGGATCTTCCACACCTATCTGAGACTCAGGTAAAGAAACAAGGGCATCTCAGAGAGCTATGTTTTCTATTTTTCTTTTTTATTCTTTTTAGTTTATTGTCAAGTTGGTTTCCATATAACACCCAGCGCTCATCCCCACAAGTGGCCTCCTCCATGTCCATCACCCTCCTTCCCCTCCCCCCCCCCATACCCATCAGTCCTCAGTTCGTAGAGAGCTTTGTTTTCATTACAGGCTCCCACTAGTGTGCCTTTGAGCAAGTCTCTTCCCCTCTCTGGGCTTTGATTTCTCCATCTGCAGAAGAGGGGCTTTGATCTAGGAGTTCCTATGATCCCAGAATGATGCAGAACTTTTTCTATACTACACGTCTCAGGTTTGAATGTTCCAGTTGTCATTCAGTAAGTATATATTGGTCATCTACTAGGCACCAAGCACTAGGCTGGATTCTGAAGATTGGAGAAAAATAAGACACGAACCTTAAACCTCGATGAGCTGAGAAAGAGGTGGACAAACGGACAAATGTTTTCTGCTTGCTTGTCACCCGCTTCCCCAGCTCAACTCCCTGTGCTGTGCCACACGCAGAGGACACAGACTAGAGCTACCTGTGCTTGGATGAGATTTTCTGCGAGAGCCTTTCTTCACAGAGCAGATGTTGTCTGAGATGGGTTTGAAGGATGAGTAGGAATTTGCCAGGTGGACAACATAGGGACTTTGTTGGCTCAAAGTGCCAAGGAGGCCTTTCTGAAAGGTTTCACAGAGCTGTTCTACCACCTGGAACTCACTTGCTCAAGAGGGTGAGAAGGGTGGGGGTCTGTCTCATTTCTGCATCTCCCATAGGAAGTCAGGGGGTAATTCTGAGGGTCTGCCTCAATTTCTCTAGATGTGTGTTTGTCTACACTGTCCCTCCTAAAGGGCTACCTCCTTTAGCCCTTTTTCTTTCCTCTCATTTCTGTGTCTCTGTATCTCTCCATTTTTCCCTCTCCATTTTCCTCTCCAGGCATCTTACCGGCTACCCAGCGTTTCCTGTCCCCTCCCCCTGCGCCATGGCCTCCAAGACCACCCGCTTTGTTTCCTCTCTTCCAGTAATGTGTTTCTCTGAGTGCCTATGGGCTTTCTCTGAGTTTTTGCTGGTTTTCTCGGAGCGTGATTTGTCTATATGAGTCTCTGTGTGTTTTTCTTTTTCTCTGTGTATTCTTCTCTGTGTGTTTCAGGATGAGTTTTTGTCTCTTTCTCGGTCTTTGTGTAAGCGTGTAGGTCTCAGTTTCTTGGTGTGTGTGTGTCCTCCATGGAGTTCTAAATCCACCTGTGTGTGTGTGTGTGTGTGTGTGTGTGTGTGTGTGTGTGTCCTTCTCCATGGAGTTCTAAATCCGCCAGGATAAACCAGACCCAAGCCTCCACCGCCTTCCCCCTGCCGGGCAGGGGAACACCCGTCCCAACACTCAGGTCTGAAGAAGGGACCCCTCCCGGCCTGGCGCGAGGCTCGCAGGACTCCCAGGCGCGCAGCTCCCACTTTGCCCAACTTGTGGGCGCCCGGGCTGCACCGCGCGGGCTCCGCGGCCCGAACAAAGGTGCGGCCGGTCCGCCTCCCCCCCTTCCCCGGCATCGGCCCCCATCTCCGCCCCCGGTACCCCGGCACGCCCGACCCCCTCCCTCCCGCGGCTCCGGGGCGCGGCGAGACCCACCCACCTCAGGCCTCGGCCGCAGGACGCATCCCGGAGGCGCTCAGGCCGCCCGGCCCCGCCGATGGCAAAGTCCGGGCGCGGGACTGGCGGGCGGCTCCTGCGAGCGGGGCATGCCGGGAAGGAGCTGGGCTGTCCGAAGAATCGAGATAAAGTCCCTGGTAGCCAAACCCCCAGGTGGTGGGAGGAGGGGGGCGGGAGCCAGGCCGCAGCGTCCAAATCCCCCGCTGCCAGGCTCCGCCGTCCCCGCCGGGCTGGGGGCGGGGGACTGGGGGTAGGGGAGGGTGGGGGGAGGAGGGGGCAGGGGGGGATTGAGGCCGGGGGAGGCCTGGCGGCGGGGAGGCCCTCACTCAGCCACCCAGCGCTCCTCGCGTCCCAGCCAGGGCCTGGGCTCAGAACAAGGCCACAGGGTCCTTGTAGGGGCCGGCCATCCAGTGGAGGTGGGGCTCCCCGAGCCTTTCTCCTTCTGCAGGGGTCCTGGGATGGAAACTGTAGAGGTCAGGAAATTCTCAGTGTGTTGGAGGATGAGTTGGGGAAAGGACGCCCCTGCAGCTAAGGGCCTCTCTCTTCCTCTTGCTCTCACTTGGGGCTGGTGGTCCAGGGGACTCTTACTCCTTGGAGCCATGTGGACCATAATGTCCACCACTCGGCTGCTATAGCCAAATTCATTGTCATGCCAGGAAATAAGCTTGGCACAGTGGTCATTGAGGGCAGTGCCAGCCCCAGCATCAAAGGTTGAAGAGTGGGTATCGCTGTTAACGTCACAGGAGGCGATCAGGTCCTCGCTGTAGCCCAGAATGCCCTCTGATACCTGCTTCATCACCTTCTTGATATCATTGTATTTGGCAGCTTTCTCCAGGCAGCAGGTCAGATGCACAACTGACATGTTGCAGGTGGGGACATGGAAAGCCATGCCAGTGAGCATCAGCCTTAGTGGCCCCAGTAGAAGTGGGAATGATATTCTGGACAGTCCCTCAGCCATCACACCACAGCTTCCCAGAGGGGCCATCTACAGTCTTCTGAGTGGTAGTGATGCATGTACTGTGGTCACGAGTCACTCCATGATGCCAAAGTCATCATGGATGACCTTGGCCGGGGGGGGGGGGGCACGCAGTCAGTGGTGCAGGAGGAATTGCTGACAATCTTGAGGGAGTTGTCACACTTCCCATGGTTCTCACCTGTCACAAACATGAGGGCATCCGCAGAAGGGGCAGAGATGATAACCCTCTTGGCCCCACCGTTTAAGTGAGCCTCAGCCTTCTGCATGGTGAAGACCCCAGTGAACTCCACAATATTCTCAGCACTAGCGTCACCCCATTTGAGGTTGGCAGGATCTCACTCCTGGAAGATGGAGATGGGCTTTCTGTTGACAAGTTTCCTGTTCTCAGCCTTGACTATGCCATTGAATTTGCCATGTGTGGAATCATACTGGAACATGTAGACCATGTAGTTGAGATCAATGAAGGGGTCATTTATGACAACAGTATGCACCTTGTCAGAGTTAAAAGTAGTCCTGGTGACCAGGTGCTTGCAATAGCCAAATCTGTTTACTCTGACCTTTATCAGCATGTCTCCAGGATGCAGCTGGCACTGCACCAGAAGATGCTGCTGTCCATCAAATGGGGAGGAGCAGAGAGCTGGGAAGTATCCATTTGTAAAGGTGTTCTCCTCTCTGTCCCAGAAAGAGAAGATGATCCCAGAAAGAGAAGATGATCCTAAATCTACAGGAACTCATATCAATGGGGAAGGCACCAGCTTAAATTTGTATAACATGCCCTTGTTTACTGTGCTTCCCCCCATCCCCACGCTCCCAGCCCCCCACCCCCAATTTCCCATAACTGGCCTGGCCCCACCCTCTCCAACACCTTTCTTTTGTTTTTAGCTGGAGGTGGTATTTAAGGTGGTAACTTGGGCCCTTTCATGGAGTTATTCAGCTTTCCTGGGTGTTTCCCATGTGTACAGGAGATATACATGTTATTAAGCTTCTGTTTATTTTTCTCCTGTTAATCTTTTCATTGCATGAGGGTCTCTACTAAGAACCTACAAGGGTAGAGGGAAAATTATTTTTCCTCTCCTACAAGACCCAAACAAACAAACATGGTGTAAATGCCCCATTAACCACCCACTAGCCAACTGCAGGGAGGACAGGATAGTACTACGGCTGTGCCAGTGCATTTACTAGCCAGCTGTCTCCCGTGATTCTTCCAACCCAATGCCCCTGGAAGTCTCCCTGGGCTGACCTGAGATGAGCGCTCAGTGTTCTTACTTGCAAACTATAGAAACTGATTATCCCATGTGGAAGGGGGGCTTGTTGAAATGACAAATGACATAGGGTGCCCACAGAATCAGCAGGAAACTGAAGACCAAGACCCAGATTAGGAAATGGGCAGGTACCACAGGAGCTCTGGGGTCTGGGTGCAATAGCCCTGAAATGATTGTGACCCTGTCTTCAACTTTATCTTCCTTCTAGATTCAGAGTTCTGGGTAGGACTTCTCTCTGTCTGTCTCCAACATGGGAGGTTGAGTCACAAGCGGTACCCTTCCTTCCAATACATTTACACGCAAGGGGGTTTCCCCCCCGAAAGGTAAGAAGGATGGTTGCTGGACAGCTCCTCAAAATTCAAGCACCCTACATATGGCCTCTCCCCACTCGGTCTGAATGCCAAGCTGTAGCAAGAGTTTCCAAATTGAAAAATCTGGAACACAAATTGATAATGGGTTGTTGTTGAATGTTAATAGCTCTCTTCCTGAAAGGTCTTCCATCTAAATTTTTAGGCAGTTGAAGGGGAGGTAAAGAGCTCTTCCTGAATCTCCTGGGCCCAGAAGTCAAGCCCACTAAGCATGATGGGTGACAGAAGATAGGAAGGAGCCCAGCTTTTCTTATAGACTAAGTCAGATCCCATTGCTTGGGTCAAGGAGACATCAGGGCCTTCTCAGATCCCTGAGGACAGTCAACTCTTAGAGGGTAGTAGAGAGAGGGGAGTCCTCACTCAGCTCTTGAATCAGCTGGATTGATGATCTCCCCCACCCCCTGCCACTCCCAGGACAACTGTGAGCTAGAAGAAGCTTGTGTCACTAGCTGTCATTGTCCAAACCCGGCGGAGTTTTGGGAGTGTCCAAACCTGTCCTATGATGCTTGTCCTGAATCCCCAGGACAGCAGACACCTATCAGAGAAGCCCAGGTCTGAGCGAACAGCCCCCAGATTGCTGCCTTCAGTGCTGGGACAGTCTACCTCAAGTTACCCAGCTGAGCAGCAGCCCCTCTGTCCCTGTAGGGAACCCAGAGCTGGTGGTACGGAATCCCCCAGGGGACAACTCTGGAGAGAATGGGGGGGGTGGGGCTTAAGTGGCTCCTGGGTCCCCCCCACATCTTTTCATACAAGGCTGCTTTAGGACCTGCACCGAGCAGGTGCACTTCAAGGAGTGGTCACTGGTGTCACCGCTGCTTCCTAGAGATGTGCCCTCATGGGTGGGCTAAGGCTGCAGCACGCTGGAGAGAGAAATTTCCTTCTTTGAAACTCGGTTTACAGGCCTGATATCCTCTGTGTCTCCCTCTCATCCTGTGTCCCTCCTGGCTGGCCTGGATTGCACTGTCCCTCATGGAGTTGCTCCCTGGCCTCTGTCCTTCCTAGTTCAGAGCAGGTGCCAGTAGCTGGAGAAGGCCACACAGCCAGACTCACTTTGCCGTTGGTTTGTGATCACAGACTGTGCACAGGCACTCATTGCTAGTGAGCCATCTGTCCCCAGGGACCCAAGTCTCAGTCTCCCACTCCGTTAGACAACAACATATCGTCAACCCTCCCCCAGCCCTCTTCCGTTCTCATGGCTTCCTTCTAAAAGAAAAAAGGTAGTGACTTCCTCACCCGTTGATCATGAAATCTCTACACTTACCAGTGTTTTTACTCATTCTCTCCTCTACCACTTCTGCTCCGAATCCTATCACCCCTCACCTTCTCAAGGTCCCGGATCCTTTGCCTTTTTCTACTTACTATCTCAGTCTTTCCTGCAGAATTCCCATCAGCAAACAATTGAGCTCATCTTAAATATCTCTGTCTGCATTCCAAGTGCCTCTGGCTACCGGCCCATGTCTCTGTTCCCTCTTAGCACTAAAATTCTCCTTTTGTCTCAATGCTATAGGAAAAGCTGTCTCTTCTGACTACCTCCATTCACTCTCTACCTGCTCAAATCTGCCTGATGCCCTGCCTTGCTCCAGAGAGTTGACTTCTCAAGGTCACTATGATCTCTGTGTCACCAAATGCTCTGGATGTCCATGTCTCAGTTTTTTAAAGTTTATTTTGAGAGAGAGAGAGAGAGAGAGAGAGAGAGAAGGGGAGAGGGGCAGAGAGGGAGGAAAGGAGAGAATCCCAGTCAGGCTCCATGCTGTCAGCACAGAGCCAGACGCAGGGCTCGATCTCACAAACCTCAAGATCATGCCCTGAGCCAATTCCAAGAGTTGGACACTCACGTGACTGAGCCACCCAGGTGCCCCCTCCGTGTCCCCTTTTAACACCAGGATTGTGCACAACAGACCAGACCACTTTCTCTTCTCTTGACCTCCATACCACTACCCTCTCCTGACCTCTCAGATCTCTCCTCTGTGGTATATCCGTTCTCTACCATCTGATCCTAAACACTAGAACTTCTTTACCCTTGGTTCTAAAAAGTCTTCTTTTCTCCTTTTTACCCCATCTTCTGAGGTGATCATATTCATTCCTTCTGATTCATATAGATCACCTTTTATACCATCGATGCCCACATTTGTATCTTTGGTCTAGTCCTTTCTATTCGGCATCTCCAATGGTTGAAACTAAACATGTCCAGAATGGAATTCTCAATTGTCACCTCTCCCAAACACCTGTCCTCCTTCCGCCGGCCATTGTCTCTGTAGCCGACACCATTGTCCACCACACGGCTCAAGCCCCAAACCTAGGAAGCCTCACTTTTTCCTCACTCCCCCTCCATCCCATCAGCAAATCATTGGTTCTACCTCAGATTCATTTCAAATCCCTTCACTTCTCCCCTTCTTGACCACCACCCACACTCATGTGGGCCATAGTCATCTCTCTAGTGAACTCGTACAAAATATTTCTGACTAACCTTCCCAT